CACACCTGAGGACACACACACACACACACACCTGTCAATCACACCTGAGGACACACACAAAAGCCGACAGCTCGCTGATTCTGAAGCTGCAGGTTTCATATCTGCTAACAACGTCGACTGAACCAGCAGCCACAGACGATCCAAACTACGCTTCATATTTAGCTTCACATAAACATCGTCACGAATCCCTCTGACTGCTTCCACCACGATAAAAATCACACTTCATGTAGAGCTCTCTCTCTCCCTCTCTCTAAATCGATAATCCAAACCCACCCCTGCTTATTACCCAACAGTCCACGGTGTCGGCCGCTGCTTTTTGTTTTGTTTTACTTCTGACAAGCCTCATTTCTGCTGTTCAATGCTGAACATACTTAAACTTTTTAAAATGAAGCCAAACTGCAAAACGCTGTCTGTAATCAAACCTCTGTAACTTTGCTTCACTTCGTTTTCGACTGCAGAATATTTTCAGGGTCATCTGCTATAAAATCCCAGACCAGGAAAACCTCCTTCACGTGTTTCTGTTTCATCCTCAGCTACTTTGACACAAAGGCCTCTGCTGCGACGCTCACACCTGTGATAAAGTCTCACAGTGTCAGCTTTCTTTGCATAGATATAAAAATATGGATATGTGCTGATAAGTGATCAGAATTATAATATTTCTGACTGTCTGAGGCAAAATTTCCCCGATTCAAATTGAATCGAATCAAATTGTGGATCGAATCGATTCTAGAAATCAGTGAGAATACCCGGCCCTACTGAGGACAGGACGCACTCCTTTCTGACACACCTGAGGACAGGTGTGTCCGTGCTCACCTCGGCCCCTCCCCGTGGAGAAGCACTTAAAGAGGACCATCCTCATGTCCAACCCCTCCTGGATCCAGATCTTGTTCATGATGCGGATCATCTGCAGAGTCAGCATGTCCTGCCTCAGGTCGTCTCCTGACTGCACACAAAGAGAACAGCCGGGGTCAAAGGTCAGCTCGCAGAGGTCGCTGTGTCTGGGATCACTAGTAAGGGGCGTCACCTTGAAGATGACACTGATGTTGTCTCCCAGTGGGTCCCGGTTCTGGAAGGACAACTTCAGAGGGACAGCGTTGGAGTTGAAGAACGAGCAGGACTGGAAACCACAGAAGAGGAAGATTAACTTTGTCCAATCAGATACAAACGCCAGCTGGGGGCGTGTCTCCTGTCTTTAAGGTGTGTGCGTACCTGGATGTTGATGCTGGTGACGAGCAGTGCTGGGTTCAGAGGAAGCCTGCAGCTGCTGTTCACCGAGAAGAACTGCTTCATCTCCTCCAGACTGTCTCTGAGGACACACTGAACACACA